CGTATATTCTGCTTTCTATTGTGAAGGCTTCAAATTTGCAAGGCAAATATCAATGAAAACTTCCCAGGTGCTTCTCACTTCCATGACCGCAAGTAAAAAACGCACTAAACAGTATATCCTACCAACAGTGGTCGGTTCAAGGAGAAAACGTCACAGTAGGACCCATTTTATGCCCCCTGACACCATCCCAACTGTTTCCGCCGATATCAACCGTAAGACTGCAGCATTATTAAGTCCAATAAGACAAACAACCTACCTTTGAGCTTCGGCAAGTACATGCTGCATATGTTGATATCCCAACGTGCCGTTTCGTTAAACATTCGCAACATTACTGTAACTGCCGACGAATCAGCGAAGAGGCCATCTTTAAGCATAGAGGAGAGACCCCCATGCTTCAGAGATCCTACCAAGTGATCCACTCCTGGAACATGAATATGTGATGCTCAAAAACTGACAGATTCTAGAAGTTTGACCTCCACAGGCTCATTGATCTTTTCACTTGTCTCCATTCTTTAAAATTTCGAAGGAATCATAGAAAGTGTCCAAGCATAAGATATTTCCATTCCAGGGCACGGCGTTTCAGCTTTTAGCGGTTATATGATTCTCAGTCACAGCTCAACGTCTTTTGTGCCATAGCCTTGAAGCACTCATGTTTAACGTGGTGAGCCGATTAGCCGATATCGGCTGTGGACAGTGAGGCTGAAGGTTTATTCATCCAAGCACCTCACTTTTTTTTCAGAGCCACTGACGTTATACAAAAACATCTTTACTGGGTGAGGTGCGAGAAGAAAACTAATCATTTATTTGTTTTCCACCGAGTCCGTGTCTGGTGGCAGTTTTACATTTATTGAAGTTGTTTTACTATAACAATTGCTGTTTAGCGCCGCAGTTCGTGCTTCGAAAGTTAGCACAAGAATGCTGACTTATGATAAATTATGGGCACGACAGCCGAAATGCCATGAGCTGACAGTATCCCTGCACACCTGATGTTTCCCACTAGGGACCCATTACCGCGACGAATCTTAAATTTATTGATCTGCTTGTTTTGAACATATCCTTCTATTGTGTAAGAGCGAGCGTGAGAGAAACGATCCTTCTATTGTGTAAGAGCGAGCGTGAGAGAAACGACAGATCGAGGTGCTTTTCGACCTGTCCCATATTATGAGTTCCTGTAGGGCCACTTCGCCGTAGTCAAGGAAGCTGACACCTACGTTGTCTTGAGGAAGGATATCGCTTGCCATTGCAGAGGGTAGCTTTTGCATCAGCGCTTCCACGCTGGACTTATTAACTCGTATTGCGGCACATCATATATTGTCGCCCATTCAGCACACAGAGTGACGGTCCTTTACTCAGCCTTCTTGAGGCGCAGCTGGCCTACCGAACGTAACCACCGGTAAGTTGGCGACCTCTTTAGGCTCTATCTGACTGACAACTGCCATGCTTCTCCGCAATCTCGGTTATCGGAAAAAATTTTTGTGAAGGATGCCTCATGAGTTGGACCCGTCTGACAAGTCATACCGAATGACCGTGACTGAGTTTTCTTTTCCTTGTACACAGCGTAGGAACTTTTGTGAGATCTTGTGGTTGGTAGCGAGTGGTGGAGTCCTTGCGTACATCATGCACATGTCCCTTGCAGGATCTCTCAAACAGAAAAGTAGATTGCTTAGCCAAAAGCAGATGTGCATGGGATAAAGATTTCAGTGTGTTATTGGTGCCTGCGACGGTAACACTGGATACCAGCACCGTTGTAAGGACCACAGTCCACCTTAATCGACTTCAAAATATGGATGACGTCACGCTTGAATTCATTCAGAAATACTCAATTTTTCTCTACTACTCGGTAATGCGAGGACCGCTGTGGGGATCAGGCTACGCCAAAAGATCATGCATTTCGATCAGAGAATGCGACCGTACTCAGGTTATTTAACAAAGTTACAGCAGTCTCTAAATTACCACCTC